ATAAACAGTAATATTAAATTAAATGTAGTGCTAGAATTTCATTGTTGTAAAGTATATAAGACTTTATTTGGGAGTTTGGAGGGGGAAGGAAGGAAAGGATTTGAAGGGGGAAAGAAGTTAAACCCTTGCTGTAACGCCCCGATTTTCGTAAAATAGCTAGTGACTCTTAAATCGTAATTACTTGCTAATTCCAGCTTGCTAGTATCAAAATAATTAGATAGATGCTGATTTTATTTTTATAGAATATTGATTGATTTCTGAGTTCAGCATTTTAGGGTAACTGCATGCAATATATTTGGTTTCAATATCATCCAAGAATTTCTCTGATTATGTTCAGCAATACTGTCTAAAATACCCTTGAGAGTTTTATCCGAAAAGTCAATTTTTCGTCTTATTTAAATTAATGTCAGAGACCTCTCTCTCATTTTTCTCTCATTTTGCTTCATCATTTCTTATTCTCTCAAAGTCTCACACTCTCTCAAGCTCTCTCAAAGAAACCGAGAAGCTCTAACCCCATAAACCTCACAAATCCTTCATCCAAACCATACAAACACACCACCACTACCTCACCAACATATTCCTCCACCTTTCCTTCAAATTTCATATGGAAGGATCTCACTTTGGAGGAGGAAATTTAAGATCCTTATTGCTATTTTCTTGGTCCAGCAAGCATCCTTTGGAGATCCACCATTTCCAACCCTTTTCTCTACCATTTCACGCCCAAAACTCAAAGGCAAGGGGGAGTTCTCACCTTTCTACATTTTATTGCTTTTCCTTGGTTTAATTTGTATAAAACTTTGTAAAGATTTCATCTTCGTCTTCACTAACTTTGAATAAATAGAAAGCCTACTTTGCATGTCAAGTCTTTATCTTATACTTCACTTTTTGGTCTCCAAATTCTCGGTTTATGCTTGGATGAGTTTGTTTCTTTGAAAGCTTGCATTTTTGTCAATTGCATGTTGATTCCTCCTTGTGCATGTCTCAGTTTTCCACTTAGTTGGCTAGATTTCTTGTTCAAATGATGATCCACCCTTTGTAACCATGAAACCGTGAGCTTGGATGACAATTTCCTTCACTTGCATGTAGATTTCAACCCTTGTGTGTTTTGGTTTTCCCTTTGTTTAGTTTGAACTTTATTTCTAACCAAAATCTTGTATTTGGATGGTGAGACAAAGTGTTGCATGTTAATTTCCTACCCTTGCATGTGTCGGATTCATTATTCTAAAGCTTAATCATTCTTGAAACAAGTTACTTTCAAGATCTTTGGAAAAAATTAAATGGTTAAGTGCTAAAACTACCTTGTATTACCTCGGTTTAGTCCTTTTAAGCATAATCCCTTGCTGCAAATAAAAGTCCTGCACTTGGATGATGAAGCCTTATGTTTGCATGTTAATTTTCTCTATTGTTGCTTATTTTGGACTTGACGAAAAATGAGTTGTAAGGATGAACAATTTTGATTGTTATGAGAAAAAGGCTACAACTTACATATTTTGAAACCTTGGAACATTTGGAAAGGATTGGTAGAACCATTGGGATTAATCTCATAAAAAGAAAAGGACAAATTGCTTGGATGGTCTCGGTTTTGGCATTTAAAATGTTGCAAAAATTGAAATAGATCTTGTATGCCTTGTTTTGTGTAAGGAAGCAAAAATGAAATTGAAAAGTGCAATACCTTGGCTGGATTTGATTGAACTGTGATGAACCTTGCTTGTGTGAAAGGTTGATTGTTGCTTGCAAACTTGTATGATTGACCTTGGATGAAAGTGAGTGCATGTCTTGATTTTACCATGTTGTGGTGTTTGAAATTTATGAAAATTACTTGGGTGAATTGCTGGAAAAATGTGAAAGATGTGAGATAAAGTATTGTTCATCCTTGATATTTGTGTTTAGAAAACTTTGAGGTATGTTTGAAGTGATGCTCGGCTGAAAACTTGGATTGTTTAGTATTCATTATGAATTATGCTATGGAATCACTATTTGAGAGCATCACATGCATCATTTGCATACCTTTATGAAAGAATTGAGGAATTATAATAATGTACAGCGAAAATGATTATATAATATTGTGATCTTAATGATCTAGTGCCCTTGAGGGCTGTTTGATGAAAATGGACCATGAATATGATTGGATTTATTGGAAATGTTACAATCTAGTTGTCTTATGAGTGATTGGGTATGAAGAATGAAAAATCAGCATGTGACCTATGAGAAAAAGTGTGAAAAACTGAGAGGATAGGACTTTGAATATTTGTGAATTAATTTGATTAAGTTGGTGGCATAGAAAGAACCTAAGTTTGATTGATCATTCCTAATAGAGAGTGAGAAACCGAGAGGTAACACTTTTAGATTATTGTGAATTAACTTGTTTAATTGATGGTTTAGAAAGAAATTAAGTTTGATGATTTGTTCTTTCATGGAGAGAAAAACTGAGAGGAAGAAATCAAGAGAGCAAGAGTTTGAGTTTGATTTATGGTTTAGAAGGTGTTAGAGATTGATGGAAATAAATGTAATGGTTAGGATGAACTTGAATGGCGAGTTGCAAGGATTGAGAAATGGGATTATACTAAATTGAAAGAGAGTTTGGACTTGAAATGTGAAAGAAAAAGTGAATTGAGAAAGAGGAAATGAATCTTGAAGGCTTGAGTGATTTGCCTAAGCTATGGTCCAATATAATATATGTTGCACTAAAATTATCCATGAGTGTGAATTTATAAAACCATGAGATTATGAAATTATAATGACAAATCTATATTATGCTCTGAGTTCCTGAAATATACAATCTTGAAATTATTATGAACTCATTGAGAATTATTGTGAAACTTATTGAATCTATCTATTCATGCTAAGGCATATGACTCATGGAGATTATCTATCCATGTTGCTAAGTCTATGATGCCTTTTAGCTCTATGCTATATGCTATGATTCTAATTCCATGGTGACTTCTATTATTACTGTGCAATAGCCCTGAGTGGCTAAATGAAATGAGTTGAGAAAACTATCACAAGAAAAATGAAAATGCTACTTCATACATCATATATTATCTTGTGAAACGACTTGATGGCATAACAGAGGCACAGCTAAGAGTATTGGAAGTTCGGTCCAAAGTAGACCTTCTGAGGGTGGTGAAAGAGGGAACATCCGACCTAAGTGGCAGATGGCAGCTGAGCTCCCTGTAGCCGGGTCGTGACCCACTTGCAAGACCTTAACCAAACCTGACGTGAACTCCATAACACTAGGGTCGTCGAGGTCCATTCCTGAACGTGTCGGATGGCACTACACATTGACTGATGTGCTATTATTCTATTTCTATCTATGATTATCACTGTGCAGAGTAAGGAATGGAGTCCTCCGATTGCGATATGACTTGAATCTATCTATCTATCTCTATGCTAAAAGTTGGGCAAGTCACCAGTCATAGAGGAATGGGATCCCCATGCATCATTTGCATGCTATTAACACATGAGTGACTATATAGGTTGAAACCTGCATTCATGCATCATGTGCATTACTATTAGGGATGATTGAATACTTGTGAAATTGGCTATGATTATGATCATATTTATCACCCTAATACATGATTGAACATTTGATGATGTTGAATGTTGATAGTTGGATTGAATTGTGATTGTCACGCCGCCTTTCTTGGGGTATGGCTGATGATTGATGTTTGTGTTTGGAGAACTCACCCATCTATTTGTGTTGTCTTGTATTGTTCTTCTTTTATTTATATAGATGGACAGGAACAAGGTGAAGGTGTGGATCCTTCCTTCTGAGGAGGATATGTGGGTGTTCGACTCTGCGACTCAGCAGAGTATCTTCTGCGGATTCGCACGAGTGATTCATGGATGGGAGAGTAAAGGTTCACGGATCACCCAATATACTGTCGACACCCCTATTGAGATTGTCTTTTCTGTCCCCCCTGGTGACACTCAGTTACCTTATCCTGCCTTGTTTGCTTTCCCGACACCTATGTCGATTGACCCCGTACTCCTACTGCTAGACCAGCCCCTGTGCCTATGCCATTTCCCTTTATAACTCCTACTTCTCAACCTGTGCCAATGGAGAGGGATGTCCATGTGGTGGAATCCTTTATTGGGTATACTACTATGCCATCTTATATGCACCCTACATACCCATCTACCTTAGTCCCACCTACTGCTACTCGTTCACCTCCTCGCACAGTTGGAATGATGGAGGAGAATGGTAGACGTCATGGCACGACTACTTCCTGTAGCTCTGCTTCCCCGACATCTTCTGAGAAGTCTGATCCCATCGAGGATTACTCGCCTTATGACTGATGTCTGTTTATTTACTTATGTCATAGGGAAACTACTCTTAGGAAGTTGGTCTATTTATGTTATGTTATGTTTCATTGTATTCAGATTATGTTGATCGTTCTTTTCATTTAAATACTTGACTATTCTGCTGAATTAAAGTTTAATATATTTGGATGTTTTCAGACATTGAGTTGTGATGATCTTATCTTATTACATCATTGAAATTGAGTTATGGAATGATGAGATTAGAAGCTTATATACATGTTAACTCTCTCTCTCTCTTGGAGATAGAGAATTACCATTGTGATCTGCTTGCGTGTACCCTCATACAAAAAAAAAATATTACCAGATTTTGGTGTTTTCTAATCTATTATGTTATAAAATTGGTATCAGTGTTTTAGTAATTTTGGACGATACATTTCCTTTGTTTGGATGTTTAATATTAAGAGAGGAGAGTGATGGAGGATTTAATTATATAATGATATTATTATATTTTATATCTTTTGTTTATATTTTTTATTTTTATAAAAATAAAAAATAAAAACATTCTTTCTTAAAAAATTAATTTTAAAATTAATATTTTTATTTTTTATAAATTTTTTAAAAAAATTCTCACCTAAAAAGCTAATATTTAAAAAAATGTTATAATCTTAACTGTGAAGGAGTATAAGAGAATGAGAGAGAGAAAACATCTAGAAAACTCTAAATTGGAGGAATTCAAAAAACTAATTTTAGGAGAGTTTTGTAAGGTTAGAAAAACTTTACAAATCTTTCCATTCAAATTAAGCAACTAGCTAACAAGAGTTAACTCATTCTAACTCCTACCTTCTCCTCTTAAACTCAACTTCCAAATATAACTTAAATGTCTTTAATCTAAGTAGTATATGAAAACAAACAAATATAACAAAGTTCGATGATATTTACACAATTGATGTACAAATGTTTTGTGGCAAATTCTTTCAGTCTCAGTTTATTGTTCGTTGATGGGAAGGGAAAAATAATAATAAACGAAAGTGACTTCTTATCGATCAATACAGGGATATAAATACTGCTTTACATGACTGTTTAACACTTTCATCATCGTAATTTGATTAGTGTAATTAAAACAAGGGTATTTAAACTTCGACCCGCTTATTTACTTTGACTTGATAAGCTGTGCTGATTTTTAATGCACGAAGTATCAAGTTGAAGTAAGTAAACAATTAAGTCCCAATTTAAAGACACTTGTCTTAATCATACTAATCTATTTATGGTGGGGTGGTTCCAATTTTCACTAAGGACAGCTGGATTCCGCTACAGTAATCTGATTATTTATGGTCCAATATTGAATGGCTTTCCTTGCATCTGAAACAAACTATCAAGAGATAACACTCCTCGTTGCACATTTTACACCTTTGCAAGTTCAGCAGCAGAAGCCGGAGCAGGAACAGCAGGAACAGCAGGAACAGCAGGAGCAACACCACCAGTAGTTGGCCTGATATGAGAAAAAAAAAATTCATTGCTACATTCAAATGAGTAGGATGACTAAATCAAGCTATCTAAACATAAAAAATTGCTAGCAACACACTTTCAAACACACTCTTTATTATTAGATAATAATTTTTTAGAAATTACAAAAATCATGAGGTCTCATTTATAATTTTTAGTATTTCTCACTCATATTTTTGTCATTCTCTTAATAAATTTCAAATAATTATAAAATGTGTTAGAAAAAGTGTGTTGAGAGTTACTTGCAGTCCTCATGTGTGTTTCTATATATGTATATATATCAGAACCAGCTAAAGACAGTAAAAACTTACAGTCCTACAAAAACCTTGAATGAATCATAAATTCCCCATTGAGCTCCAGTGAGAGTTCCAATCATAAGAATACGAAGAGGAAGACCACGGGTAAAAAGACCCCATAATCCAAACTTCTTTACAGCCTGCATTAGAGAGGTAGACCACATGTGTCAAATGCAGTTATTTAGAAAAAGTGCCAAATAAAACAACAGTAAATTTACAACAAATCTGCACTTACATCACTAACTGTTGCCCCTTTGGCATTGTTCAAGAAAGAGACGAGGTTGTCTGCAGGATGAGACACAATTGCACATAATATACCAGCCATGTATCCACCTACAATACTCACTCCGAGTTGCAAGGAACTGCTGCATTCATCCTTTGGTTTGGGGATGGCATGCTTATAGATCATCTCAACTATGTTCTCATAAGAAGCAAACTTCATCATTGTATCTGCAAGCAAGAAAATAATTTACGTTGTTATAAGTAATGACATAGGTAAAATGCATCCAAAAATCAACAACAAATGACAATTTATTTGCACTTTCCTAAATGATTTGTATGAAGAAAAGCACAAAAGGATCATTAATAAGATTTTGTATGATGACAGCAAAAAGAAAAGGAACAACAAAGACTCTTGACAAGCTTTCAGACTATTCAAACAGATATTTTTAAATTCCACTGGTTGCCCTAATCTTAATTTTAGTAATACATAAGTAAGTAAAGTACCAACAAATATCTCCCATAAAATTATTCACTCATCTTTTTTATAAGATATATTTAATTGAATTATACAAACTAATAAAAGTAGTTAAAGTTAATTAATTATGTTGATCTTTTAAAAAATTACTATAACTTGGCAATGTTATCCTTATTTATGAACTTAATTCTACTGTCAAAGATTTCAATTTTGAAAATTTGTTCCTTTCCATACTGTTTTTAATTCACAGTTAGTTGTCAAATTGGGACTCAAACTACAACATATATTGTAGAAAATAAGAAATAAAATGAAAATATATTGACATTTTGGAATTATCTTGTAAAAACAGAAAATGAACTCACTAACGAATCTAAGCAACACGAGTAAATATTCATCTACAAGGCACTTTAGCTTGCAAAAACTGCACAGTATTAGATGGGGGAACTTACATGGAACCTGTCTTCCCCACAGAGGCCCAATTCCCTTGTACAACCTGAAACAATAGGACATTTCTTTAAATGCTTATCATAGTAACAAGTATAGAGTTAATTATTAGCATTTTGATATGAATTTGGGCCCGATACAAGAGTGTAAGAGAGAATAAACTTTAACCATGAGTGACTTGTTTGCGTAAAAAGCCATAACAATTTAAACTCAGTCATCTTATTTATATATTCTTTAATTTATTACTAACTCACAAATTTCAAACATTTTATTATCTAACATTAGTTAACAACATTTAAAAAATTGTAAGCATACCCTGAGACTCCTTCAGTTCTGACCAATTTTGGAAGGCCATCAGCAAGGCCTCTAGCAAAACCAGGTTGAGTTTGGACTCGAACCTTCACGGCCTCAAATGGGCAAAGTGCAACATCTGCAATTAACTCAGAAGATGCTGAACCAGCAAGGTAGATCAAGGTCTTATACTTTGTTGCATACTCTGGGCCAACAATATCAGAATAGTATTTCTTAAAGAACTCATAGAATCCATATTTGAAGGCACCCTGTGCACCGTAACCGACAAGGGTAGGTGCCCAACCGCGGAAAAAGCCCCTCAGTCCTTGCTCCTTGAATATAACTCCAAATCCATTGGTTGTGCTCTTGTACTTGACCGGGTCAATCTGAAATTGATTACTAACTCAAAGTCAAAAGGACAAATCAAGCACCATATGGTATGAACCATTAATCAGTTGTAGTTGTAAATACATCCATCAATGTCCAAAGATCATTTGGATATACACACAGTTTTAAATTGCAGTTGCATGCTATAATTAAATGCAGGTGATGTAACTATAAAGTGGTAACAGATTGGTGATAGAGGGAGAGTGACCTGTAGGTTACATTTGACAACATCAAGAGGTGTGGTTGCGGTGTGAGTGGGGCCACAGCTGAGGATTCCACCAACGGTGCAAGCCGCATAGAAAGACGGCGAAAACATCTTTATACCATTTCTAGGCTCACTCGGTGAATGAACCATCAAACTCGAAGAGGAAGAGGAAGAGGAATAGAGGTGGCTCGGAATCAGAGAATGACGCCGCGAAGGGTCTGAGTCGGAGAGAGCCATGAAGGAATGTCTGTGACACAGTTTCTTATTTTGTTCGAAGAGAGCAAGGAACGAGAAAGAGGAATGTGTTTTTTCTCTCTCAATTCCTCGGATTGGAGCCGAAACGTTCGTTGCAGTGTGTTGTCTGTTATTTGTTCTGTTTTTTCAAGGAAATGATTTTCATCTTTCGCGGGTTTTTATATCCCAATCGCGAAGCAGAGAATGTCTATGTTTGGTTTTGAGAACCTTCCCAACGTGCAACTTACTTTTCTAAGAAAATAATAAATTAATAATCATGTTCGTTAGCAATACTATTTTGACTATTTAGAAAACAAAAACGTGTTGCATCTTTATCAGTAAAATTCTACTTATTGATAACGTATTTTTTTAAATGATTTGTGTTGGTTATCTCATGGGTAAATAATTTTATTTTAGATGAATTAATAAATATATGACATTGTATTAAAATTGTATAATTTTTTTACTGATACAATTTCATTAATTTATCTATAAAATGAGATTATTTATTTCATTGGATAACTTAGATAATCTTTCACTTAAAATATTATTCGCTTTTAAAATTAAATATTAGAGTTTCAAGTTATAAATGACTTTCCGTAAAATTTGTGAAAACCGTTGTTACATTATTTTTCTCTATTCTAATATTAATTTTATTTATCTTTTAGTAATATTTTGATTATTTATAAAGTATTAAATAAAAATATATGCATTTATTATCTTACAAATATTAACTATCATAAATATTTTTAATAATTAAGAGAACTTGTAAAAATAAAAATAAAAAAAAGATCTAAAACTATTATAAGTGAAAACGTGAAAAAAAATTCTGCAGGTAAAACATTCGTATATGTTTCACATTCTTTTATTTTACTAAATATGACTAATTTCATATTGTTTTTGGTTAAAATACTCTTGGAGACCAAGAAAATAGAAGCTGGTCAAACAGATTTCGGGTCAACTTGATCAATTGTGTGTGCATTGAATACGTAAGACGATACGTCACAATCCCGTGATGCCAACGCCTCCGAATGGCATTTTCTCAGTTCCATACGTTTTGGAAAGAGAAAATGTTTTGTTTAAAATTACGAGAATCTAATAACATTCTTAATTATTGATTTATTAAAAATTATAAAAACTACGTAATCATTTAATATTTTTGTTATATTTTATAAATTTTAATTAATTTTATTAAATAATTTAAATTATTTTAAAAAATATGTTAGCGAATGTTGCTAAGATTTTTTATATAAAAATTAATATTAAATATTATTTAAATATGAAAAATGTTTTTGTATATTTTAGATAGACACCTTTACGTTTCATTTTGTTTTAAGAATATATTTTAAAAATTATGTATATATAAAAAATTAATAATTAGATAAAATATTATATTAATTTTTAATTATATAAATAATGAAATTTTTAAATATTCACAAATGAAAATTGTTAGAAAAGTAGAACAGCCAGGCTGCTGGTAAATTGACCACCTGGTCATATGTTTGGAAAACGCCACCTTCCCTTTTGATTCCTCTTACTTTCAGACTTTTCTTCAGTTTAAACCTGGAATCAACACTTTTAGGAACTTTTGATTCCACCGATTTTTTATTAGTTTTATTAATATCACTCTTAAAAATTATTTTTTAAAGCATAAATATCTTAATTTTTTATTAAATAGTATATTATAATTTTACATTTTCCATATAATATTTACCTTTTAGTAACATTAAATGATTTTAAATACTAAAATTAATTGAAATTGAGGTTAATATTTTTTTACTTAGAAAAAATCATATAAATTAATTATTTATTTTTTAATATAGATTTTATCATTATTTTTATTTTCTTTATTATAGGTCTATGAGATATTTAATTAAGAATTAAGTAAAAATATCGGTACAATTAAAAATTGGCAATTAATGTTGTTTTAGTTTAAAATAAATAGATAAATAAAACTATTTCTTTAAAGATAGACAAATAAATAGATTACTCAAGTCCATGTGAAATATATGAGACATTTTAAAACATATATTGCTTGGTTGGAATCCGCAACCAAATTAATTAAAGACCTGATCTTTATTGTTTTGGCCAGACTTTCAAAAGTCTTTCAAATTGTTAATTTGACAAATTTATACATTTCATGTCAAAGTGAGATTAATTTTGAATCTAAATACATAGCACAATTTGTAATTATATTATTTCACCAAAATAATTGTATAAAACTAATGTTGTTTTTCGTACACATTAAATATTAGACAAAATGCATTCAAGCTTTTTGATGTATAACAATATTTTACTCAAAATAGATTTTTTCTTCTTTTACTCTACACAATTTTTTTCTTAATTTATGCATAAACCATGCCTAGATACCCGAAGACCAGGCAGAATGGGAATATACACCTCTGGATGACCGAAAGAGATGCTGGTATAATATGGGGTCTCCCCCTCCTGCGGGATCAGAAAAGGTTGTATTAAAGTTTCCATCGGTTAATAACATTGTTAATAATATCCTTAATTTCTTATGAAATTATGTGAATTAAGAGAGGTAAAAGTAATATTAAATATCATGTAAAATTGTTATAATAGTGTTACAACAAGAATAATATTAATATTATCTCTTAGAATTAGTCAGAAAAGGAGAAGAGTTGTGTTTTTATTGCAGGTGACGAAGTTTGATCAATATTCTTTACATTTCATGTTTCTTTATCTTTATTGTTAAGCTATTAATCAAAAACCTAATGAGTTAACTTTATGAAATTATGTAAATACTCTGTTGCATGTGACTAAAAATTACACATGCTGTGATTGATAAATATCGACGAATACGCTGCAAAATTTTATATTGTTCCTATTTTACTCAGGCTAATAACAGATCTCGATGCTCCAAATTCAAGAGTGGACTTAGGCCGGATATTAAACAAGCAGTAGGTGACCCATTTTCCAACATTAATAGATAGATGTCGTATTTTTGAAGATGACACCAAGTCACGACAAGTTTCATGGAAAAATACTGGCCCATAGCATCAAGCAAGTACTTCAAGCTTTAGAGGAAAGGAGAGTCAAGAAAGGTGTAAACCTTACTTCAATCCCATCCGTTTTAGAGGAAATGATTTTTTTGGGAATCAAGGATCCAGTGTAGGAAGCGTGAATCGTCTGAGTATTGAATGCCACAACTGTAATGGACCACACGTTAAGAGAATGTGTTTCCGTGATCCCGTAGTGTGCTTTAGGTGCCAACAACGAGGTCATCTCAACCGTTACTGCCTACTGACCAGGGGGAGATTTCGTGGGAATAATGGCAAAAGCCAAACCCGCAGTGAAGGGAATGAACATGGTCAAAGCAATGTTGGTAGCCGTAATTCCAATGGACTTCCTAAAGTCTCCTCTAGACGACCAAATGGGCAGAGTGCTTACTATGAATGGTGCGGAGACCACCCAATTAGATGATTTGATACGTGGTAAGTGTTTCATGAATGGAACTCTCTTGAATGTATTGTATTACAACAAGCAAAGGAAACCTCTAAAGAAGGAGACCACTTATTTCTACGCGTCACTCCCACAACAGGGATAGGACGAATTCTAAAGCCCCGAAAACTTAATCCAAAATTTATTGGCCCTTACCAAATACTTAAAAGGGTAGGAAGTTCAGCTTACCAAATAGCTTTGTCCCTAAATTTGTCCAATCTTCACAATATTTTTCATGTCTCTCAACTTTGAAAATATACTCCCAACCCACTGCACGTAATAGATCAAGTTCTCGTAAAAGAGAATTTAATTAACCTTTGAAGTCATGCCTTTTCGGATCTCTGACCACAAGCTTAAAATACTCCAAAACAAAGAAATTCCTTTGGTCAAGGTAATTTGGAGTTTGGAGTGCTACTGATGAAAGCGACACTATGTGGGAGCTAGAAAGAGACATGTGGCAAATGTACCCTCATTTATTTAATTTAGGTCAATTGAATTTTGAGGACAAAATTTCTCGAAAGAGAGGAGTGTTGTAACACCCCTAAGATTTTATGCATTTTCTATATGTTAAAATATAGAGTTTTGATTCATCTTAATTAATTCTATCTAATGTCTGTTTTATGCCTTAATGATATTAAAATGACTTAGTTAAAGATTTTAGCTGAACTCATACCACATAAGATCCTTTCTTAAACTTTCTCCTTCTTGCTTTGAATTTTATATATATAATTATATACGTACATATGTGGTTTAATATCCAACCAAATTTTTATTTCTCCTTGTTTCAAGAAGAAGTGTAGTCTCGACATTTATTTATGAATTGTGTGATGAGTGGTGGTGTCACTCCACGTTCATTCTCCCCCTCACAAATCCTCTAAATTAAACTTTCAAATTGTTGAATTACTCCGTTGCCTCAATTTGCACACACATAACTGCATAATATGACATAAAAATTCCAATCTCAACCTAACCTTTGCATGATGCAAATTAATGTGGCCTTTCATCCAAACTACACATGTAATCCACCCATATATCATTCTCGATTTTGAGAGTATTAACCATGCAGAAGTATACGCAGATGAGGGACAGATTTCCAACATAGATTTAGCATCATTAGTGTATAGGTTTCATAATAAATGAAGCCATTCCTTAATGCTCCATGATGTGTCATTTTTTTCCCTTGCTAGCCGCTCCATAGCCTTTCATCTCGACATTGAAAAGACCACACCACTACATCATATCCTCACAATAATGACATAGAAGCTTCCCTTGATAATTAGACTGCCTTAGTGGCTTTGAAAATACAAGTGAAGCTACTCCTAGTCTTGACAAACTCAGCAATTACTTCACCAAATTACCTGGAGTTGCTACCACTAAGAGGAGAAAAACAAAGAAGTACTAAATTGGATGTTTCTGCATACTAAATAAGAGAATAAATCTCGGCCTAATTAAAAAAAAAAAAGAACACACCAAATTCAGAACCTTAACTCCTTCTTTTCCCTTCATTCTTCCTCATCATTCTACATCTTTACTTTTTATTTTGCTAAGCAGATAAAATAGATTACAAGCATCACGTTACTATGTTCAAAATAATTCTCCTTCCATGATCCTTACTTTCTATTTTTCTTTTTTTATCATTCACTGCCTGTTTTGTATAGCAAGATCGTGACATACAAATCTGTTGATCCTCTCCTTTCTCACAAGATTCTCACTACAAAGTAAAGGGGAGTCCATGTTGCTTGTTATGTTGTAAATACTCTATTGCATGTGACAAAAAGTTGCTTGCTGTTGTGATTGATGAATGGTAGGAATCATTTAACGTTAGAAACTTGAATCTGGATCCTAAATAACATACTTGTCAAATAACTGAACAAAAAGTTTTGATAAAGATGTGGAGTGATGGTATTTTGTGTTATATATAATGGATATTTGGTTTGATGTGTGGAATGTCATGTGTGTTTGCCTAAGTGACTCTATTTTTGTAATTGAGTAGGACTGTTTTAGTGATGAATATCTTATATAATGTGTGTGCCTCTGAGAGAGATGAGACCAAGGCCAACGAAAATGGATTAAATAAGCACAACTTATCCTACATGATACATGACTTAATTATTGGTTCACTTTTGCAGTATGAGAAACTATTGTGGTATTGCACATTATTAGCCCTTGGATTGTATATAACTTGTGATGTAATATCTTGTAGATACACACACACACACACACACATATATATATATATATATATGAAATGACGGTATGGATGCTTGTAAGTATATACATGTACTTTCCCTTTTTATGGAGAAACCATTTAGCAGATATTGCTAATGTATTTTGCACTTGGATAAGCTAAGTAATAGGACTAGCGTAAAGGACGTGAGCCAGAGATGCCTTTTATTCTCATTTTTCCTATATATATGTGTGTGTATGTATGTATAATGCATAAGATTAGTTACTAATATAAAGGATAGACTCGTAGCAAGTCCAAAACTGTGCATAAGGAATGAAAATTTTGAAAGTACTATACATAGGAAAATCGTAACTTATACAGCCTTGACATATTTTTAGATAATTCACCTTAGCATGATTTTAGAAAACTTAATATTCAGCTGTAATAATCTAATAAAACAATAGGTATAAGGGTGAAGAGCTTCTACTAAAGCGTGACTATAAACACATGGATGGAAAATACATATATATACATATTAGTAAGTTGGATGTAAATGTCCAATGGGGGTAAAGACTAAATATAAACATGTAAAAATGAATTTATTAAGTTAAGGATGAATAAGAAAGCTAAGAGTGAAGTAAGGAGAGAAATAAAAGGCTTTAGACCATAATAACTACACTTCATTTTATTACTTAGTTAAATTTTACTAATACAAGGACAGCAAAGCGTTCAACGAGATGTTAAAAGGTAAATACAATTTTGGGAACCTTAGAAAAACAACTTATTAGTAAATAAGTCCATCATAGATAACTTTTAGAGTAATAAACATTGATAGTTAAGAATAAATAGAAACTAAATAATGGAGAGTACGGCTAACAAGTTCCCTTGGCATCTAGGACCTTAGAATTTGAATTCCATATAACTAAGGAACTACAATAGAGAAGTAATGAACGGAGATTTACGGAAATTATCTCCCTAGATGAATGAAGTGTGATGTGTATTTGTTGTATTAATTGAATTCAATTTTGAAATGAACTCTGAAGGTTAGGAGAGTACGTAAATGATAGGATCATGCATCATGCACATAAGGAAGAAGGCAGGATCAAGACTATAGTTGGCACAACTATGGGACACTTTGTGTTAGGTTCAATGACGAACCTTGAGGGTGGCAAAAGGGGGGATGACCCAATGGCGTAGAGTAGCTCACTATGACTGAGTCATGTCACTAGCAAACCCTTGCCAAACCTGACGTGAACACCCATTACAAAGATCACAATAGGCCTATTCTTGAATGACGCCCTCAAGGCATGTAAACTATATGCTACTAGTATACCCTTTTCTCTTATTTCGCTTAGGACTACCCCAGCTCCTATAGACACTGATGCCCCCATCCCTCCGCCTATCCCAAATAGTACCCTTGACTCCCATATACCTTGGCCTTCTTCCCCTCCTCTTGTTGAACCTGAGTGTATTGATATTCAGGTAATTGAGTCATCTGTTAGACCTTGTCCTCCTACTCCACCTCGCCAACTGTCACCCATCAACGAAGACGGATCTTCACATCGCAGCCCTTCACCACCTTTTTCCTCTCCACTCTCCCGTATACCCCCACTTACTCCTAGTTGGCTGAAAGATGTAGATGAGAATCTGCCTAGTTTGCCTATTGATCCTAACACGACACTCTCCTCGTCACCAAACTCTAAACCCTCAGAGGAATATACCCCTCTGGAATGACATCGTTTTATGTATGTGTGTTTTCTTTTTTCATGATAGGACTAGTTGGGGGAAGTCACATGGTAACTAGTAGTTATTTTTTTGGCTATTTTGGATGTTGTGTAGTGTTGTTCTCCCTAGGGCGTGATATGTGTTGAGACCCCTCTTACTTCCCTTAGTCTACTAATGAATTATATATATGACTATGTACTGTGAAATTAGTTAATCTTAAATGTTGCCCAACAACTCGTTTAGTATTTAAATAACACTTAAACTATTACGTGAAAATTTCTTTCTTCATACTACTGATGACGTATACTTTGAAAACATACACGAATAACTAAAAGAATATTTGGTTATGCACGTTAACTATTCTATACACCTATATGTATATAATATTATGATAAGATGCAGTGTTTTAGGAGCATACCTATTTTATCTAATACTGAAATGTTAGGATGTCACACATAGGGCGTTCTCAACCTAAGCCTCTGGAAGACTCACTCTTGGTGCTAAAAGGAGTTATGCATAGGCCATGCTTAATATAAAGCTCTTAGAGTGATCACTCTTTACCTCAAAAGCGTCTACACACAGAGTATGTCCTCTTCAAAGCCTCTGTAATGCTCACTTTTGGTGGTGAAAGTGACTATGTTTAGCATATTTCACTCTCCAAGTCTCTGGAATGTTAACTTTTAGTATGCAAAGTAATTACGCTTAGCCCTTTTCACCTCCTAAAGCTTCTAACTCATTTGTTACTAAGAAAAAAAATTGAAATTCATGTATAAAGATTTTTTTTTATGTGATTATTGTCTTCCTAATTACAATTTCCTATAAAAAAATTTCTTAGAAAACTAACTAAAAATCTATCAAATTATGAATTTACCACTTGAGTTCTTAAGGTGTTAAGTCATGTCATCTACTAGCTTAGTGTCACATTTTGGACAGGTTGACACTTTAGGGTGTGATACATGTCAATACTTAGGTAGTGGCACATTTTGAACTAGCTTGACACTTAGGGACATGACATGTGTCATCCCTTAGGTGTGTAGCACATTTTGAACCAACTTTTTGCATTTCACTCACATTTCCTTTTACCTATTCTGATAAATGTTTTGTGATTAAACCATTTTGATTAATTGTCTTAAATTTTTAGCCATTAAAAAAAACCTAAAAAAGACAATTAGAATTTAGTTGTTGATCATCTATCCAAATTGAAAATAGCAACAAACCAATAAGAGGAGATATTCTAGATGAATTCTATAATGAAAATTTTTTGTGATACAAGAAACACCTTGATTTATTGCTATGTCTAATTATAAAGTAATTGATGTCATTCTAGAATACATGTCATGGCATAAAAGGAAAAAAAAATTTAAGAATTTAAATTATTATATATGGGACCCTTTCCTATTTAAACTATATCCAAATGATTTGTTTAGGAGATGTGTTACTCAAAAGAAGGCTAAAAATATTTTGTGCCATTGCCATGACTTATTATATAGATTCAATGAAGGAAAAACAAGTGCTAAAATTATGCAATGTGGGTTATATTGGCCAAGCATATTCAAGGATTCATATGAGCATGTTCAATCACACGCGATAAGTGCCAAAGAACAAGAGCTAAACACAATATTGGAAATTGAATTGTTTGACTATTGGAAAATAGATTTTATGAGACCATTCTTATCTTTCTACTTAAATCAGTACATGCTAGTTGTTATAGACAATGTTTCTAAATGGGTTGAAGTTGTTGAATCTCCTAATAATGAGGAACAAATAGTTAACTTTGGAAAAATATTTTCTATATTTGGAATGCTTAGAATACTAATTAGTGAGAGTGACAACCACTTATGTAATAAAATACTATGCAATGTGCTTGCCAAATATGATTTGAAGCATAAAATTGTAAGACCATACCATCCATAAACTAATGGACAAGTAAATAAGTCAGAAAGAAACTTAGAGAAAACTAATAAGTAGCTCGAAGAAGGATTGGTCAATGAAGTTAGAGTATGATTTATGTATATTTAGGATAGCTTTTAGAACTTCTGGAATTATCTCCATATTAGCTAGTTTCTGGAAAAAAAATAAAAATATGTGACCTACCTTTGAAATTAGGGCATAAAGCATATTGGGTTCTTAAATTTTTAAATTTTGATTATATAACAAATGTGATAAAATGATACAATAGTTACATGAATTGGATGAGAAGATTGTGACCATATAAAAATATTGTCATATACAAGCATAAAGTTAAAAATATCCTGATAAGCATACTCTACCGAAGATATTTTATCTTGACCAACAAGTATTGTTGTTCAATTTAAGAATAAGGTTATTTCTAAGAAAACAAAAATTAGAATGTTTAGGACTATTTACCGTAAAAGAAGTACTTCTCCATGGGGTTGTGATACTGGAAGATCTTACAACAAAAAGAGAATTCAAAGTTAGTAGTCATCATCTGAAGCACTATTTTGGTGGTAAGTTTTACCGGGGGTTCTTAACCTTTTTTTTGCATTTTGAACGTCAAAATATTAATATACCTTAAAAAAGCGCTCATGGGAGGCACCTCATGTTCATATTATTTTATTTAATTTTTGTTCTTATTAAATATCTAGAAATTGTTTCAATTTTAGTTAGGACTTTATATGTATATTGTAACATCCTCTTTTCATTTTTCAGTAAATTATGTTTTGTTTAATATTAAGCAATATTAGAGTGCATTTAGAAGAGAGTATAAAAGATATTTGGAAGGATTCTGGTGTAGGAGATCTCGCTCAAGCAAGGTAAATCTCACCCAAGCGAGATTGAGCATGTAGGAATGCAAAGTTGCAAGGCTATCTCACTTAAGTAAGATGCTTCTCGCTCAAGCGAGATACGATAAATGCAGTTCAACTGTCACCTCGCTCAGGCGAGAGTGGTCTCGCTCAAGCGAGCTGAGATCTCGTCTAGGCGAGATGGGTTGCTCAAGCGAAGACCCACAAGAGAAATACCATACTCTCTGGACATCATCTCCTTAGGCGAGATGGAGCTCGCTCAAGCGAGCATATCAGAAAAATAGTGTGCGAGACCACTGTCTGCATATCTCGCTCAAGCAAGATGTCGTCGCTCAAGCTAGATGTTCCTCGCTCAAGCATGGAAATCTCATTTGTTTCTGAACTCACGTAACCCTCTCAGTTTTCTCTGAACTCTCTCTTCCATTTACCCAGATAAAAGCCTCAAAAACTCTTATTTCTCTTCAAATCTAAGTTTGAACGTTGAATCTTAGCGACTTTGAATAAGTTTCTTTGGATTAAACTTGATTTTCTCTGATCATTTTTCCTGTTTTTGTTTCTTTTGGATATCTCTTGGTATTCAGGAGAACATTAATAGTTGATCCTTGATCCTTTTCAACATCTCTCCGAAAACTCATCATTGAGGTAAGGAAGGCTCTATTTTATCGTTCTATTATAGTATTTATTTTGTGCTCATGAGAGCACTGTTATATGAATGCCTTATGAAAATATGTGATTGAGATATCTGTTGTGTGAATTATGAATGAAAAGATAGTTGTTTGATTGTTTGGATTGGTTGGCTGTTTAGACTGAATGATTGGTATATGCAATATGTGATGAATACTTGATGTGAAATTATTTGTGAACATGTTGAATGATTATCATGAGATTTTATGAAATATATCTAAGTAAAATGATATAAGGAAATGATGTTAATATAAAAGATTTACAGTTCCAATTGTATCAATGAATGTATGAGTGGAATGGATTGGAATGAAATTAGTCTGGAAGTGCTTTACTAAGCACGATCTTATGAATGAAAGAAAGGATAACTTTGGGAATGACTTTTAAAGTCGGATATGGATTGAATCTAGTGTAAATAGTTACAGAGATATACTGGGGTATAGAGTCCGGAGATGATGAAAATCTTGGAGAAACGTATGGTGGTAAGCGACATTCACTTATGTGTACACACTCTTTCTGAGAGCGAATGCGTCACATAACCTCACACTTATTTCCTGACTAGACTCCTAACTATGCCTTTGTTAAGGGGTCCGATTATTGTACATGTTGTATTCGTGTGCATGGCTAACCGGCGACTATTTACTTAGTTGAGTAAGATCTCGAGAAGTGCTGGAGGCATCGATATCTGTGATCACAGTGCACTGGAAGTGCGTATTGAAATGAAAAAATGGATAATGAATAATAAAATTGTGAATGGTGTGTGTGGGGGAATACAATGGTAATATAAAGTTAATGTGAAACTGAATGTATTGTATTTACATTATAAGTTATGATTCTGTGATATATGATTTGTAAATGATAGAATAGAAACTCATCCTTACTAACATTTTTAGGGAAACAGCATGACAGAACCCCAGGAAAGAGTTAGACTATTAGATAGTTCAGTACATAATAGGTTGAATTATGTATTTAATGAATATCAAAGATTGTGTTACTTTAAATTTGTTGTCCTTGTGGAAACTGAGCAAAGGACTTTTGTTATGGTAGAGATGAATTTCTTCTGTAGTATTCTTTTTGATTTTCCTAGGAGTAGAATACATCAGACCCTGTATATATATATATATATATATATATATATATATATATATATATATATGTATAGAGATATTGTTAGGACTCTGACAACCCTCACTTATCTATTCACCTATCACGATCATGACTATCTCGAAAGACTGTCCAGATAGACTTTTCAAAGCATCACTGGTACAAAGGTCACAGCTGCTTCAGGCGATCGCTATCTGAGATCAGACAAGAATCTGGATTCAGAAGACTTAGTCGAGATAGAGAATTAGGATGCTAGTGATGAAGTATTTGGTTATAGGGAAGACTGCTCTATGACTTATCTTTATTTATGTGATGTAAATATTATTTTAAGTCTCATATATTTTGACAAACAGTTATAATTTTTATGTTGATGTATGTAATGTATATTCAATTTTTGCCATAAAGAATAATAAGTTTTAGTTATGATATGTGTTTATTCTTTACAATATTCATTATTGTTGTCATATTAGCACTACAAAGTTGAAATTCTCCTCTACATACCAAAACTATAAAGCAAATTCTACCAATTTAATATAATGAATTCATTATATTCAAAAACTGATATTTTATTTCAAATGATTAAGAATAAAATATACATTATACGGATTTCTGATTTTAGGATGTTACATATATAACTTAATTTTTAATGAATTGATTGAAGTTTATGCTAAATGCTTGCTTGCAAAGACAGGTAAACAAAGGACATTGCAAAACAATAGATAACAAAGCAAGTCGGGATATGGGACAACGGATGTGAACATGTGCAACATTTAAAACCTAAGAGCACTCGCGAGTAAAGAAATTGGTAAGATAAATGGCATTTTCACGGCCCGAGTAGAGACAATATAAAATGGGTGTGAGGACATAGGTGTTAGAGTCCAAATTTGAGTTGGATGTGATGACACATTAGTGCAAAAATCATTTTTAACAAAGTGTAAGATTAAGGAGGAATGACAGCAATGTGGCCTCTCGTTTTATGATTCTCCCTGGAAATTTTCCTCCATATAACAAGAAGAAAATGCTTCCTCTATTCCCATTTTTCTTTTTTTCTCGGGGATGAGGTCGAGTAAACATCCAAAGTATAATATTTGAAATAAAAACAAACAATTTCTAAGAGAAGTAGAAAAGTGGGGTGTTTCGATCATAATTTTCCATCAAAAGTCACTCTTCCATATTGGTGAATTTGGGCATAAGTACTGTATGCAGCAGTAATCAATCTAAAAAATGTTATCAATTTGATTTGACAAAGATGTTATTTTTAAAGGTTAAAAATGAAATTATGGGAATTGGATTACAAAGGACAATTATAAGATATGGCATACACGTTAAGCAAACAAGTAACAGAAATAGATAATAGAATGAAAAGCACGGAACTTGTAGCGAAAATGCCATCTTTACAAAAATGTCACCTATGGCAAATGCTCAAATAATAGTGCTAGCGATCAAGAAATTGCATAGCAGGATACCAACAGTGACAGCTGCACAATCCAACCTAGATGAACCAGAAGCCTTCTTCCCTACAAACTCGCCGGAACTCGGAGCCGCCGGTGCCAATGCCTCTGCCTCAGGAGGAGCTGCAGAACTCATAGGTCTATCAGCACTTGGAGTGGGAAAAAAGGAGGCAATATCTGGTGCAGTGACGTAAGGTAAATCATTTGAAGAGGCTGAGATTGTTGGCTCAGTACTTGAGCTGAGAGCTAGTGAATAGGCTAAAAAGACAAACAGAAAGACAAAGGCAGATAACTTGTAGACAGTAGCCATGAATTGATGAGAACTTTAGCCGAACAGAAGGATGGAAATGGTGATGAGTCAGGGAATGTTGGTAAAATTTGCCAATGTGCATGTGTGACAGTATATACTTGAATTTGTTGATGCATCACGAGAAAGGTAGGAGGTCTAGAGTTTCTATTGTCTCTTTGCATATCTATTTATTGAGAAAATGTATGGTTTCTTTCGATTTGTTTGTTGTCATGTACTACTCCCACCACCAGTCCGGATTACTTTTTGCACCACCCTTTTTTGCTATTCACATTACGCATTTTATCATCACTTTTATTTATAATTTAGTTTTCGGGAAAAAAATTTATTCCTTCCAAAAAACCAAATTTCAAAATTATTATTTCTGAAATTTAATTCTAGAAGGTATTAAACATGCTTTTAAAACTAGGCTCTGAAGGTTACAGTAAAATAAGTGGTACGAATAATAAAAAGAAGTGATGCAAATAGCAATCCCTCGCCGAATATAAGTTCTGTCACATGCCTAAGGTTTTGGACTTTCGAATACAAGGGGCCCATTTATCTCACCCTTGCTTCCCTACCCCATGTGACCAGCTTGCATAGGTCCACAAACCTTGATGTGGCCAATCAATTGTCAGTTTTGAAATATTACAGTGAGAAAATTAAGTGTAGTAGCGATAAAAAGACAAACAAAATTCAGACAGTTCATAGTTTAAAGCCATGCCAAATAAAATGCCTCAAAGTTTTCATACATCTTTGAATCATATAAGTACTTTGGTTTTCAAAATAGTTGAAATTGTACCTGCTTAGTTAGTTCAAGTGACAGCTTAATTTCGGGTATTGAGTTCAAGTTTCGTAATTAAAAGAATAGAAATAAAACTTAATCTTTTTAATTGAATTTACTTTGTTCAATTTAAATTAGTCAAGACTCAAAGTGACTTCTTGATATTAAAGGGGACACACCAAAACATGAATAAATAAATAAAATAAAAAAATTTGCGTCCAAAATTTTCAAAGGGATTTAATTCACTAAAATCAAAATGATTAGGGATTCCTACCATGGTTTAAGTTGCTGAACTCATTATATTCCAGATCCTTGAAGAATATCATTACCTACCATGTGAGATTCACATGACAATAGGTTGTAGCATGATGGCCCCTGCGGCATGCTACAGTGATGGTGAGCAATAGAAGATAAGATCAGAATATGGAATAAACTGAGAGGTCTTCTGCTTATGTCCCCACTGAAACAATCCAGCAATCCCGCAACTACGGACTGTGGTCCAATCGTAGTGAATTTGGGTCTCCCACTATTTGAACAAGATTTAACTGCCCTATGCCTAAGATTGAGAATAAAATATTAGATCGTCGAAGCTATTGAATTCTGAAACAATTGTATCCTGTAAAGTACATGGAATACATGGCATGATGTATAGCAACAACTTTAGTAATGCTACAAACCAAAAAGAATTAATACAACAATCCCAACTCCTGCAATCATTCCTCTTTTGGAATAGACCAGTGCAGAAATAAATAAAGGTTACAATAAAAGGCCTCAATTCTGGTGAATTGGTAAATATCAACAACCAAGCCAAATTTATATCCAAACCAATGCCAAAAATTCAGATCATTAAGTACAGCTTCTCTAACTAGAGAAGCCTAAGGTGTGCTGTATCATTCAGCCTCTTTATCTGCCAACCAGTTCTCAGAGAATGCTGTAACACGGTCACTGAAGAGTCTTCTATGCAGAACTTATGTGACATCAGTGGGCTACATCCAAGAAGGCCAGTTAGGAGACACTTAATAGGCACAGAGTGAGTAAATAGTCCTATACAAGAGACAGATGGTGAAAAGCTGCTGAAACCAGAAGAATTATGCAGAGAATTTTGGTGGTTTACGTTGCCAGAGGAAATCTCATCTTCAATCTCGTCTCCAGTAGTTGTAACAAATTGTAGCCTGCTCTTACCAGATTTTTTCCTTGAAAATGCAGGTCGGTGCCTATTGGGCAAATCCCATTGATTTGGAGGGAGAGAAGGGCCATCTTGGTCATGAATTGAGTTTGGCAGGAGAGCATGGGAATTATGTTGTGGAAATGCCTGGCTATCATTTTGGTGTGATGATAAATCTAATCTCAATTTTTCATATAATCCCAGGACGGTTCCATTTAAGAAGTGAATCATCCGGAATTCTACTTGTCTAAGTGATTCTCCAGAAGGTGCAGTAAAATCTGGCTGGAACCTGTCAATTAAGCCCTGAATTTCAGGGGTATATATTTCTGATCGAAGGCAGCCCTCCCAATTCCCTTGACTAATCTCTGCAAGGGCGTCAGAGGATTGAATTTGATCCTCTGAAAAATTGACTTCCTGTCCATTGGAATTTTAGAGTAAGATTTCAAGCACGAGATTCTGAAATGTAACTAGTCTTTTTCTCATTGGTAGGGATGCAACCATCAGAAGTGAAATTTCTGAAGATGAAGTTCAATGTAAAATAATCACGTTAATTTTTCTACAAATATATACACAGTTCCAGCCTTATCTATAACGTGACACTTTCCATCTTTTAATGTGCTTTAAGCTAGCAGGTCACTCACACTCTTAATATATGGTAGAAGGAGCTGCCACAATGGAAAATTCCCTCATGATTTTCACCACTGATTCCAGTAAACTAATTTCTTGTGTTGATTTTGTTGTAAACTAATTTTGTGTTATATTTGTTCATGTCTTCCAACCATTCAAGACCCTCAACCACATCTTTCTGAACAATATTATTTAGTGTCTAGCATCAAAAGCATAGTTTCCGCTGGAATTTTTCAGTTTCCACCTTTCCAATGATGCTTTTGATTATATGGAGATAACATCTATAATTTTGATTCACACAAGTCAGCATTTAATTATAAGGCAATAATAATAGTCAGCCGTGAGATCTTTATTTTTATTTTTTTTCCCATTCTCCTCCCCAAGTTCACAAATACGGTATTTAATCTCACACTACCTACGTTGTATAAAACTTTAGAACAACAGTATACATGCTTCTGGCAAATTGTAGGTGAGAAAATTTAAGATGAATTATAGAGAGTAAACACTCATTTGGTCCTTTAAAGATATAGATGACAGCACATTAATTTTCCAATTATGATAGACACCCTCAATGATAATTAATGCCATTTGATGACTGATTTGATGGCAAGTGAAATTATGGGAGCAGTTTACTGTCACATATATCTTTGGAGAACTAATTTGATGTATTTATGAATAGAAGACCAATATGAAGTCTCGTGTATTTGGAGGATCAAACAAGACTTTTACTGCTGCTTCAAAAATGACCATTAAGAATATGGTGTTATGAAATTTTTAAGAACTCTATATCTTGGAATTAGGAGGTTTTTGGTTATAGGTCAAATTTTAAAAAGATGGTTTTACTCTAATTTAAATTTAAGATGAAATTGGTTCCTAAAAAGTCTAGTTCGTGGTAGATTTATGCAATCAAAATTTTTCCAAACTCTCTTCCTCTCCATTCTCTCTCTCTCTCTCTCTCCAGCTAGATTCAAAGGAAGTTTGTGTATAAGATAAAATTGCAGGAACCACCCATCCATCCAAGAGTCAATACGAGTATGCCAATTTCTATAGTTTAAAGTTAAACAACCAAAAAACTTTACATTCCTATATGTAATTTCCTATATTTTGTACCATTTTAAACTAGTTTTAAAATTTGCCAAACATCCCCTTAGTAGTTTTATCACAATTGATAAAGCAAAACATGAATATCATAAGCATCTAGCATCAGTCGCAGCTAACTTTTCCTTGAAGCATTCCACGTTCAGCATTAATATTATAACTGATACATTTAGCTAAACCTGGAAGACAATGCACGTTCTCCTACTTTCTTCCTTGTTTTTCATCTCAGAATTACCCTATCACATCATCTAATAGTTCTAAACTCTGCATATAATGATAGTTTTGTCCACTGTTCTCTGAGCAATTAAATTGCTTAAAATCTAAATCCCAACGGCATAAATGAGTTTTATGCTAAATTTCATGTCACAAGGGAAATTAGCCAATATCAATTCTATATAAGAAGTGAAAACCAACAAATCTATGAGCAGAAGATTCTACCACTTTCCCCATAACCTTAAAAAGTAGCAGAGTTCTGTAGAACATTATAGCCGGAATGATAATCCAAAACACATGGGCTCCTGGCATATGACCATCTACCAGGAGACATCAATTCAGCATTAAGAAAGATGTCCTACGAGAGTAAAATAAGCTAATATAGTAAATCAACAAGCAAGCACACTCAATGTTGCTATTCACATTTTTTATCAGTCAAGAAATCAGATTGACCATTTTCATTCTCATCTAAACTCAATTGCAAATCCAATGTCATTCCCTCAACTTCCACCATTTACATACTCAAAACCATTCAAAACATGATCAGCATGACCACCTAATTAAACTCCCAAACAAAGCATCGACCCAAATTACTTAAATTCAAAGCATCTACCAAACACAATCTAGAAAACACAAACACGACACGACACAAACACTTGAACATGACTATAATACAATGTATAAAATTAATACAAAATTAACATAACACACAAATATTAATCAGAAGAAAGAATCGATGCTTTAAATTTATATAATTCACTCAATTATTGTTGAAATATTCTCATTTACTCATTGTTATAAAAGCCAAAAAAACAGAAAAGGGAAAAACATCATAAAATGCAGCTAGAAATAGTCTAAATACAAGGCACGAGTACAATACGTGTCAAACACATGCACATAAACAACACCAACATTTCGAGATGTCTGTGATTCTTGCACACAATTGAGCAAATTTAAAGTGAGAAAACTACCTTACAGACCGAAATCGCAGTTGACCGTGCCCGATCCAACGGCGACGAATAAACCGCACTGAACCGAACCCCCTGAGACTTGAGAAAAACGGCCAAAGCCCTCGCCTGCCGTTTCCCGTTCGCCGTTAATGCTGCGGCAGGGCACCGGCCACCGACCAAATCTGGCGCCAAATTCAACTCACACTCGCCGTGGCTGATCAGAAAAACCTCCGTCACATCATCATCCCCAACCACCGCCGAGAAGCTCCGGGAGAGAGCCGGCGGAGGCGACGGCAGCTGCGGCGGCGGGCCGAGGACGTTGTAAGGGTCCCAGACCTTGATGGAAGGGCCGAGGCGCGGCGTGCCGAGCGACGAAAGCTGCGGCGACAACGGCGACGCGGAGGCGTGGCACGGCAGCATCTCGGGCTCTTGTTCTAGAACCTTCTTGACCATGTGGTTCCCCAATTGGGCCCGGCCCAGGGGCCCATTAATGTTTCTATCGTCTTCTTCTTCTGGTTCCTCTTCCTCTTCTTCGCTGTCTTCCACAACTTGCACTGATTGGTTGACACCCATACTTACTGAAACGACGTCGCGTCCCGGATCCTACAACGATGCGGAGTTTTATTGCTCAGATTTGAAACGCATCGCGTTAAGCATTTGGGAATGATAGGGATCTGTAGTGAGGTGAAGATGGGTTTGTGAATAGATATGAAGAGAAGTAGATCTCACTGTGTGGATTTTTCATCGTGTTGGGACTTCACCCGTCATTCTCCTCAGCTTAAATCTCCCCTATTTGATGAATCACTGCGCTTCTGTGTATATATAATATTATGGTGTGAACTAAGGTGAAGACGAAGCTTAAGGGAGCCACTACCCACTAAAATCTGTCTTACTTTATTTGTTTTTCTTTTTTTCTTAAGGAAAATTTTATAAATATTATTATTATTTGAAAGGTACTTATTAAAAAAATTAAGAAGTGTGCATATATTTTTACTTTAATTTATGGTATATTTTTAAAAAAAATATTATTTAATAACGTTTGATGTTAATTAAAATTATGTTTATTTATTCGTGTTTGTAAAATTCTAAGCAATATTAATTAATGTATTTTTAATCATACTTTTCTTTATCTAATTTTAAATATTTTACACATTTATTATATAAATAATAAAATTATAAATTATATTAATATTAAAAAATTATTATAAATAGAATATTAAATATATTTTTAATTTATGTTATCTTACAAAATTGACGAAAAATGTATGTTAATTTTAAAAAAGTTATAATTGTTCTGTTGGATTACTTTTTAGTATTTAAAAATTATAGAAAAGGATTTATTTAAATAAAATAAAATAATATTATATTTATTAAAAAGGATGAAATAGAATGAATTAGTGTACTATAATTTATTTTAGTAAGCTTTTATTATTTTGGCTAGACTAGTAATTTAATTTGATGATCAAAATCTACGTAATATAATTTTAGAACACTTACGTGATATGTTGAATTTAATTTGATCAACAAGAAAAACTAATAACACTTCAATAATAAAAAGTGATTAAAAAACTTACACAATTTAATTTCAGTTCTTTACGAAATTTATTTTAAATTTAAAATAAACTCATTACAAAAATAAAAGTTTAAAAGTTTAAGAAAACTTTAAATAAATAAACTTAAAAAGCTAGGGCTAGAAATTAAGTTATTGATTTTAGCTAGATGCATTAAAATAAAGATTTAAATCATGCATAGACATATTTTAAGTGGTTTTTTTAATAAAAGCACAGCCTTTTCAAAATAAAATTACACATGTGTCTTAAGAATTTTTATTTTTTTTTTACATAAATATTCTGAAATTCTAATGTAGAAGTCAATTAAAACGAATTCACTTTTAAATTTGAATTTGTGCCTCTAACAAAAATTGACTTTAAATGACTTGAATTTTTCACAGAAGTCAACTTTAATCGACTTTCATCCTCCGTTGAAGCCGATTCAAGTCGATTTAAGTTGTTGATTTGTAGATCTAAATAAGTCAATTATAATCAACTTCCATAATAGAGTGAAGATGATTAAAATCAACTTTTGTTAATGTTTAGAGATGATTATAATCGACTACTATATAGTCGATACGTGAGAGAGGCGAGACCAGAAAGAAGAAAGTAGTGAGAGAACCAAGACTAGAGAGAAAGAAGGCCAGAGAGAGGGATCAAAGATCAAAGATCAAAGATCAAAGATTAATTTTGTTGATCATATTGTCAGCAAGCTGTCAATACAGATAAATTAATTTTTAAATATATTTAGTTGATTTATAATTAGTTATTTTTGTATTTAATTTAATGTATTATTAATTCTGTAATTATATGTTTAGAAAGATGTATAAATGTTAATATTATATTGTAAATTAATTATAGTTGTTGTTATAATTATAATTATTATATTGAGAATGCAAATAAAATTCTATAATATATTTATAGTTATATGATGATTGATTTTTGTATTGTAGTAATTTATAATTATAATAATTTTGTTATAATATTTTAATTTAAATCTTGTATATATTATTTTGTTATTGTACAAAAAGCTCGAATTTCAAAAAGTAGGCGTTATAATATGATAGTTTCTCCAAATTCAAGAATAGAACCATTTCTTAGGCAAACTGGTTTTTGGCATGTTGCACAGATAGTTTCAGTATTTGATTATGATAGGACACTCATAAGTGCACTTTGTAGAACGTTGGAGGCCTGAGTCACATACATTTCATTTTTCATATGGAGAATGTACGATCACATTGGAGGATGTTGTGTTTCAACTAGGCTTACGTGTGGATGGAGTCCCTGTGAGTGGTTGCATTGAAGCGTGGCAGAAATTTTATAATCGGAATATATGGGCATTGTGTGAAAATTTACTTTGAGCAGTTCCTAATGAGAGAAATATAAAAGGATTTTTTGTAAATTTACAATGGTTCACACATATATTTGGAGCATTACCTCACAATGCTGATGGACAAACTATTATCCATTACACTAAAGCGTACATAATGGTTCTATTTGGTGGGGTATTGTTTCCAGATAAATTAGGATTTAGGGTGCATATGAAGTGGCTACCTCTTTTAGCTGATTTTACTGAGATTTCAAATTATAGTTGAGGTTCTGCTGTTCTAATATTCCTTTATCATGAGCTTTGTCGTGCAGTGAAATACAATGTCACCAAAATTGCAGGTTATTTCTTGCCTCTTCTACAGTCTTAGGCATGGTACAAAATACCTCAGTTAGACCCTAGGCACCATCATCTTCTCACTTTTCCACTAGCATTAAGGTACATTTATTATTGAATATATTAATTTTTGTTATTTATATATGTTAAATTTGCACCCTAAAAACTAATTATGCTTATTTTAGGTAGAAAAGTTTTAGGTCATCGACGAGATCAGATACGGATAAGTTATTGCGATATAGGAGGATCATTGATTCAATTGACATTAATGGGGTAAGTTCAAAGAGGATGTATTCTACTAACTTTTATTGACTTTTAATTTTATTTTTTGGTCTAATATTTGTTTTTGATTATTTCAGTTTAGGTGGATACCTTACAACAACAATGAGGTCAGGAACATTACACCTCCTTTTGTGTATGATGAGGCTAATGTTTGGGCATTTGTGACTGCTCTTATATAGTTTACTGTGATTGAGTGGCACCTTGTTGATTGCATGGTTCGACAATTTGGTTGAGCATAACACATACCAATTAGCCCGATAAATATTGATCGATTGCATGCTAAAGATAGGAGGGGTGATCTAGAGATATAGTGGCCTGATTATCACCAAACATGGCATGTTACATGGGAGGCACATAAGGAGCAACGAGTTCAATATCCTCTAGCTAATGATGATCGTCCCTCTGTCAAGTATTTCCAATGATATTTGTCAGTCGCTAATAGATTTTTGTCATTGGATAGAGCCCCACAGAATCCAAAGCTTAGGAACTTGCCTAATGATGTAGCACTACATGCTCCCCCAGTACTTGACATCACACACCCTGATGACGTTCTAGATATATGTCTTTCAGCTGTCATTTGCATGCAAGTACATGTGCTAGTAGTTGCCAATACCCCAATGAAGCGCATATACCAGCCGACTCCCTAGCACATGATGTACAACCTGATGCACATCCCACTGTACAGCCTACTTCACACCACATATACCACCCGACATCCATATACCCCAACCAGTACTTCATGTCAGGACATAGCCAACAACAATACATGTCTGACCCTTCTCAACATCAGTTCATGTCGGGCCTTAGCCAACCATATATGACTCCCAACCAGCAGTTTATGGCAGGTCCTAGTCATCATTTCATGTATGATTCTTTTCTTACTCAAATTCCTACGCCGCATTTTGTCACAAGTCTATCCCAAGATGATATTGCATGACATATATTTTTTAGTCTACCTTTCATTTCAGATGTTGAGGTTATAAGCTACATTCATCTGAGACATGTGCACCAATTCAAGAGGTTCAACAACTAGATCATTTCTATCGACCATCGCCAACGCATCAGGAGGAAGAGGATGAGCTCGATGACTAGGAGGAAGAAGTGGATGACCAAGATGAGCCACAGGAGGAATAGCACATACGTCATAGACCAGTACGACAGATTGTACATTGTCGCTGTGCAACAGGGAGTCATATTGCTGGCCCCAAACCCAATAGGCGTGGCTTATAGTGTTTCAAATTGATATGTATGGTAGACTTTTAATTTAGTTGATATAATTATTTTAATTATGCATTTTTGTCTTTTTATTATTCAAGCATAGTGGTGTAAGACATTTATGTTTAACTTGCTTTAAGTTTTAATGTAATTTGAAATTTATCATTTTTATATATGATTAGTTTAGCTTAGTTAAATAAATCGATTTGTGGTAGACAATAAGCTGATAGAAAATATATATTCGTTAGGAAAATTGGTTACATAAACAAAACAATATTACGATTACTACACAGGGAAATAAGGCGATAAACAACAAATATACTACAACACATTAAACTTAACACCAAGGATTCTTTTACAACATAACACAGTAAATCAATTATGTTGGCTAGAGGATATAGCACATAGGCATGTCCGTCTAGTGTGACCGGTACCTCTATACAATTCACATTGATTTCCCTGGCTCAAATCATTTTCATCCATTTCATTGTGAAACCTCATTTAAACCGGCCAACCCTCAAGACTTCGTTTAAGTGTAGGATTTGGTCATATAGGAAGGCCAGTTTATGGTGGCTACATATCTTCATTAGGAATTGAAGAGAATTATGTTTTGTACAAATTGAACACGAACTCCATGCTATAAACATCATGAACAAAAGAGGTCAAATCTCTTCGAGCATCAGAGCACGCAGTGAGTGCATGATGACATGGATAATGTAACTTTTGAAATTCTTCACAGTCACATCATTGCTCTGTTAAAAGCACCCTAAATTCCTGTTGACCACGACTTCCCATGTTATCTCTTTCAAACACCAAGTATTCTAACGCATTGCGGGTTACTCGAGTGGTACTCATATTTCCAAAGTGTTTCCTATGCTCTTCAATTGCATTTAACAATGTCTATGAAAATTTTTTGCCACTAGCAAGTTGCGTCTTTGCCTCTGTTCCCTTTTGTCTGAACAACTCAATAAGACGATAATATGTTTACTTAACTATGGTTGTAATAGGAAGATTACAAGTACCTTTCATGATCGCATTCATACACTCTGATAGATTAGTAGTCATGTGCCCAAAGCGATGACCCT